TGTCAGGAGCGGGACATAACACTTGAGATTCTGACTCAAGTTGGGTTACGAGGCAGGAGAGCGGCATTGAAGGTGTTAACCTGCCTTTCTGGGGTTTGCTTTCTGATGTGTACAGTCTTCTGAAGTTTTAGGAGTTGCAGCTCTGTTCTGTTTATTGAAGGCTTTTTCTTCTCCCCCCCCCCCCCCCCGCCTCTTCTTTTCTTGTCATGGAAAGGTAAATAAGACAAGAATGAGTACAACAAATACTCCCAAGGAATGGGCTGGGGCGGACAATGGAAACTGTAATGAGAACATGTTTATATGCAAGCCCAGATGAGTATCAGAAGACCCTACTGGCCTCCTGCCCAGCTGCTATCTCTTGGCGGTTTCCCATAGGCAGTGCAGTAGAAGTGAGTCATAAACATTTAGTTGTTCTTCAGGAACTTTATTTTTTTTTAACAAATGAAATTGCTTGCTTATAATATGTGTTGGTACTCTATGTAGTATGGCACAGATTCTCCTGAGGAGATGAAGATTCAGGGGGGAAAAAGCACCTTTTTTTTTAATGTTATATAAATTTGTGGGATAGTCAGAAACAGCTAAATTAATCTGGAGCACACTGACTTCTAGATGCTTAAAACACAAGCCTCTGAACTAATTTCTGAAGCTTGCTTTCTTCTCTAATTTTGGTTACTGACCTAGAGAACAAACTACAAGTATTTTATATTTTGCCATTTACAGATTTTTTTTTTCTTCATGTGATTAGTATTTGATGCCTTAAATTTGATTTTTAGAAAATCATCTACATGATTCAGAGGAACCCAAAGATCTCAGCCTTGTTTCTGTGGAATTCGCCCTCACCAGATTTTGGATTTACATCCATATTTAGGCGCCCTGTCCAGAAGCGTGTAGGTATTGAGTAGTTAACGTCCTTTGCAAAATGCCACCCATAGGAGTTAAAAGTGTGGATTTATGAAGGTGGCAATCAGTTTTCCCTTTATTCAATACCGCCTGTGTGTGCCAGTTATTTGGTCTGTAGCTCTGGAGAAGGGCATTCAAAATATGTGTATGATGTAGGTAAACTTACTCAGGCAACTTCCAAAGAGCAAATGAAGTTTGATACATAATAGATAGATACAAAGAAACCCAAATATAATGCATGTATACTATTCTAGAGAAAACCCTAGGGTATTTGTTACACTTTTTCTAGTTTGTGCAAAAACAATAAAAGAGAATAATGTATTTCCCTGCATACAAAATGTAGCTTATAGGTATGACTGCTTTTTGGCCTAGGGCAAGAGAAGTGATACCTGCCAAGAACACCAAGGCACTGGGCTTTTCTTTCTGGCAGGTAATGGGATGGGGGTCCTAGGCCTGTCGGGTGGGGCAAACCCCTGGGAAGGCTGATCTAAGAGCAGTGAGACTCAGCAGAGCTTAGGGAGGGAGAATATTGACATGAGAGAGAAAGAAGGGTATTTACTTGAAGGAAAAGAGCAAGCCAGAACTTGCAAGTTGAGCAAAGAGGAACTGGATCCACAAAGAAAACTTCAGGAGGAACAGCCAGGAGATACAAAAACATATGTGAACGTCCAAGTCTAAAACAAGAAATCCTCCCAAACCATCCTTGATGTTTCTTTGCCTACTCGAAGGGGGTGGCAAGCTCTCTGCAGTGTAGTGGCTTCATGAGTACTGCCGTGCGAGGGGCCCTGCCCAGCAAGCGTCGTTGTGTCCATGCAAACCAGGTAGTGCCAGTCTAAAGTTCTTTATCTCCTCCTGATCTGGTCCCAGGTTAATAATTGTTTCCACCTGTTTAAGATTTTAGAGTGCTTTTCTATACTGCCATCTTCTTCCTCAATCATTTGTTCAGAGTAAATAATGAGCAACCTAAGTAACCAGAGCAATAAAAGTGATGTATGAGTTTGGCAGTGGGGTTTGCCATACCCCAACAAATTCAGCCCAGGCATACAACAAAGTGTTTACATTATGGCAGTGGAAAAAGTGCTGAAGAGTCGACTGCAATTCTAACAACAGTTTTCTTTTAGACAGGAGTGCAGGTCAAATTTCACGTTACACTAGCTCCTCATACTCTGCGTGGTTTACTATTTTTCAAACTTTCCATGGCCCAATTCATTCCACATAGGTTTCTGGTTTAGCATTTCCTTAAATTTTTCTGCCTGAAAGTACTTTTCCCCCTTCATCAAAGCGCGTGGTGTGCTTGAGGCCGAGTGGATCGTTAAAAAATCTGGATCGGGAGAGAAGGTTACCGTTGGCGTGGAATAGTGAGGATATTTGTGATTGCACATTTACGGCATCTGTAGCGATTGATACTAGTTTAGAAGTATCTTAAAAGTAATTTCTTACAAAAACTAGAAGTCTAAACAAGTTTCTGTAGTTTCCAAAATACATACAGGGTTTGGGGATAGCTTTGTTTTAAAATTTCACTGCAGTAGCAAAAGTTTAGCAGGTCACACCCAGATTTTCTCTTCTTCGAAGGCGCAGGTGCTTAACGGTACTTAGGTGTTGAGAGATGCCTTCTGACAGTCCTCACGCCACCCAGTGACACTCCCGGCCCCATCACCCCAGCAGTCCTACAGGTGCTGAAGTTTGTAACCATGCGCAAAACCATCCAAAAACTGCCTCAGGATCTCAGCTAACTTGCAGGAATTCACTTGACTGCTCTTGAGGGCGATTTGTAGCTTTGATGTGCTCTTGTCTGTCTTGGTGGTACAGCATTCTACCTCTGCTGGGTACTCTTCACCCAGAAGTACCCTGCACTAAGGGCTCGTATTCGTGTGCCTGGTTTGTATTGGAGACTGAAGATTCTTGTCTCCCACATCTCAGATGACAGCTGTGCAGGAGTTGTCCAGTATTGTAAAGGATGTAAAGGACAATTTGGGGGTTGGACTTGGAACTTCAAGTCAGGATTCAGCGCCTGGATGCTCTAGGGGAGAGAAGCATGGATTTGTGGGCAGAGCAGCAGTTGCTTGGAGTCTTGCACCATACCCTTTTCTGGACTTGGAACTTCAAGTCAGGATTCAGTGCCTGGATGCTCTAGGGGAGCATGGATTTGCGGGCAGAGCAGTTGCTTGGAGTCTTGCACCATACCCTTTTTCCAGGGTGGATATTTTAGGCTAAGCTTTTCTTTCAAAAGGATTTCTGCAAATCAACCTCTTCAGTAACAACCCAGGCTGCCCTAAAATGCCGCTTCAGCAGTACAGACTCCACTGGGCATTACGAGTTCTGACGAGAACAGTACCATGCTCGACCTCATGGCTGAAACCGGAGAACTGTTTTTGCTTAAAGACTAAAAATACATGGCTGCCGCGGCACAGTTAACGTGTAATAAATAACGACCAGCATTTTACATTGTAAGGTGAGAACACCGTAGCTATCCGGGAGACTGAACGGATTCTCTTGCAATTGCCACCCTTCCCTACTCCCGTGATGGGAGCTGTAAGATCCTTCTGCTTCTTTTGCTCACGGTCGTGAGCCGTGGTTCAAGCAGGGCAGTGAAAGGCAGCACTGCCTCTGTCAGGAGCGGGACATAACACTTGAGATTCTGACTCAAGTTGGGTTATGAGGCAGGAGAGCGGCACTGAAGGTGTTAACCTGCCTTTCTGGGGTTTGCTTTCTGATGTGTACAGTCTTCTGAAGTTTTAGGAGTGCAGCTCTGTTCTGTTTATTGAAGGCTTTTTCTTCTCCCCCCCCCCCCCTTTTTTGAAAACAAACTGTCTAACTTGTCTAATTGCTGTGAGTTCCAAGTTGGAGCTTCCTCTTACTGTAAGCTGCGCATTAATAAAACTGAACTTGCTGCTTAAAAAGAGCCAAGGGGACTTCTGTTATGTGTAACACCAGGCAGTGATTCAGCAAAGACAAAATCCCCAAAACTTTGAATTTAGGGGGCTAATAAATATCCATGCTGTTAATTGATGTCCTTTTTAATAGTTTAAAAAAAAAAAAAACACCTTGAGGTACATGTCTGGAAACTTTAGAGAGGACACGGTAGAGCCTCGGAGCTGTGCTTTGTCACAAACGGTCTTGGTATCATTTTTCTTCCTCGGAGAAGCTCTAAAGAAAGAGTTTGCCTTTCCTTATTTATCCGAAAGCCAGCCTCTTTTAGTGGAAGCAGATAAGAGACTCCAGTGAGATGAATCCTAGATAAAGCAGTTATCACGTACTAGTGAGGCCACAAAAGCTTCTTCCACTTCTGCTGGGAAGATGTGAGAAGCAGGGCCAGGGCTGGGACTTTGATGTACCTTTGGTAAGGTTCTGGATTAATCTAGCAAAAGCGCTGCCTGTTCCCTGACTGTGCCAGCAGCGTAAGGGTGTGGTGTGGTGCTCCTGCTTGTTCTTTCTCTCCAGACTACAGTAGAGATCAGTTCTCGAATTTTAGCTGTAGAATATTCCCAAACAATAGCTGTTTTGAAGAGGGCTTCTCTGGATTATTTTCTAAGTAAGTGCCCTGTGTAACTTCTAAAAAGTTAAGTGTTCCCTGCAGTTAATTCTTCGGAGACAATGTGTAAGCTATCAGAATTTGCTGGTGCCTAAAGACATCTCGAGAAACAATGACACAAAATGGAACAAACACACCATGGGGGGAGCTTCAGCTTTTTGAAGACGACTCGAGTCTTCGTGCCAATTCTTTGTGTGCTTGTAAATGAACCTCTGCATAAAACTTGTCAATGCTATATGGGAAAAAAAAAAAAAAAAGTCAGGAAGCGAAGAACAGCTCTGTGTGAGCCCATTAAATGGTATTTTTTGGAAAGTGCCATACGGTGGGAGATAAAATTCAGCATGAGCCAGGTAGACAAATGCCACGCGTTAGAACCGCACAGGTTATTCTCCTCCTTGTCCCACCTTGTATCTTGAAAGCCCGGCGCGCGCATTATCACCTGGCGGGAGCTCCTAGCCATTTGTGGGATTTTGCCCCAATGTTAATCAGCTTTTTGGTTTTTAACAGGAAGCCAGGCCCTTACCAGCCCGCTTGACCACTAACAAACATTTTACTTTTTCACTCTCAGAATGTGAACGGTATAAAGTACCACGCCAAGAACGGCCACAGAACGCAAATCCGCGTACGCAAACCATTCAAATGTCGCTGTGGAAAGAGTTACAAGACAGCTCAGGGCCTGCGGCACCACACAATCAATTTCCACCCCCCCGTGTCTGCTGAGATTATCAGGAAGATGCAGCAATAACATGCTGGTCACAAATGTGCCAAGAAATCCTCACCAGCAGTTGCTGATTTTGAGAACAGCCACCTTTTTCAGGGGAAGCATTCAGCAACCCTTTAAAACAATTAAATGCATGCTTTAAAAATTTTCTGTAATTTTGGAATGATGTATCTTTGTAGAGTTAATGATTTTGTACATTTGCACATGTAATCATCATACCCATTTTCATTACTTTGAGATAAGGTGCTATAAAAGCTATATAGGTTCTTCAGAACATTTTTCTCCAAAACAGACAAAAAAAAAAAAAATCATTTAGGGGGGCGTCGCGTATTTAGTTGTACTGAAGTAAGCGTGGAACAGGAGCGCGAGGAGGAGAGCTTGGCACTGACACCCTTTCGAGATTGTAACGTGATGAAGAAGACTTTCACTGCATCTGTCAATGTGTGTGCGAAACCAAAACAGTACCACCCTCGTCAAACTGTCGTTAACATGCCTTACATAATGGAGGTATCCGTGGAGTAGCAAGTCTTTTAGGTAATGGAAATATAAATAAGAAAGAATGTTTAACATAATATGCTAAAAATATTTTCATACTTAAATAACATACGTAAAAAGGTGTGCTTGCTGTATTTTATATTATCTTGCAAATCTTTTTTTTGTTTCCCCCCCCCCTCTGGAAATGCTGAAGATCTTGCCATCCAAACTAGCAAACAATCACTCTAGTGTTAGAAATTACTACTTTTATTTTTTTGTACGAGATGTCGTATTATGTTCACGCCCATCAAACCTTTGAGGACCAATATCCCAGTCCAGCTGAATAGTTACCCCCGAACTATCTGTTAGAAAGACACTTGGAAATACTTAAGTGCAAATTTATGTGTGTGTGAGAAACAATTATCTTCATCTCAGATGAAGTTTTAAAGCACTTTGTAGTTCTCTATTGCCAACAGATTTAATGTTTTATGTGTTGCCAATTCTTGCAACTACTGTACGAGCACGTGCCTGTGGTTGCAAATAAAAATTAAAAATCCCACGCGCGGTTTAAGGAGGTCCATTACTCGTGCTGAGGGAGTCCCTAATGCCTCTCCCTCACCATCACTGAACTTTGAGATTTTTATTTCTGCATTTTTGCCGGTTTTTTTGTTTTGCTTCTCACCGTAGGTCACTGCATTCGTCTGGAAGTGTCTGTTTAGCTTTACAGTTAATTTCGCTGAAACATGACGTATGAGCCTTACTGACGATTAAGTGCTTCTTGCAGCAGGTGGTCAGAGACCCACCTAAAACAAAAGCCAACGCGAGAGCCCTTCGTGTCTGGACCAGCCCTGAGCAGGCCTCGGCTGCCCTCCTGCCTTGCGCGTTCTCCTCTCCCAGGCGCTGTCCTTGGAGCCGAGCCAGCCAGCAGCGGAGGCAGGCACCCGAGGCGGGCACCCCCACCCTGCCCCAGCCCAAAATGCTTCTTGCACCAGGAGGGCCCGGGAGGAACGCCCGGTGTTAAACAAACACAGCCATTGCCCCCTCCCTGCTTCCTGTAAGTAAGTGCAAAAGCAAGCGCAACTGCAGGAGGAATGCGCTTTCTCTTTCCTTCTTCCCAAAGCTGTAAAGGAAAACGCTGTAAGGATGACAGTTACCTGTTCTCCAGCCGAGTAGAACCTCTGGGCAAAACCCTTAGGAACCACCCTCAGGAATAAGTGTTTAGAACGCCTGACTTGACCCAGAACACCGCGTTTCCAAGTCCTAGAGAGGCGACAGCGGGCGCCTTGCACGGTGCTGCCAGCCGAGCTTGATGGGCTGATCCAGACACGAGAGCCGCTGGTACCCAAAGGGCCCCGGCAGCCGCTTCCCCCCTCCCACAGCCCCTCTGGCCAACCACCCGCCCCCTGGCTCTGCTCCTACTGCAAGAAGCCACCGCCTGGGCAAGGGCGTTCAACAGCTGAGCAGCCGTAAAGCGTCATTGTCGCATGTAAATTCCTTTCAACGATAAAAAAATGAAATTCCAGTTTCTATTTACCTACTCATTGTGACAGTATTATTAAACAGGTAAAGATGGGACTATTTTGTTATACTGTGTATAGTGAATGTATTGTACTGTGTCTGTGAAAAGTGTGCTTTAAATTATATTTTCATATGTTTTGTTGGGGACAAAGTACTTTAAGTTCGAAAGTGACAGAGGTTTGTTTTAGAACTGAAGGCAACTTAAAGAATTCCTGTCAAGAAAGCTGCTTATAAATGTAAATCAAATCACATTTAAAATAAACTGCCTCTGACCTAAGAAGCCTGCTCTGCCTTGTTACTGAGCTAAAGAGTTAAGTTCTCGGGCTGTGCACGGGCTCCCAGTTGCGGGGTTTCCTTCTGTATCCTCAGACTCTGTATTCAGTGGACACCTGCAGCAGCTTAAGCACCACACCGCTAACGCACAAATCACACAGACTGCTACGGCCTGGAGGGGAAGGAAAACAAAAACAGTATTTGGATTTAACCAGTCGAAAGGATTCCAGATTTCACAGCCTGTTCCCTTCCAACACGTCGCCAGGCAGAATTTGTGCTGCTGCTACAGCATCTGCCCCTTTTTTTTGGCAGGGTATGGGCCACCTCCCTGCTCATGGTCTCAGAACTGAAGTGGCTATTGCCACGGAAGGAGACATCATTAAATCTGTAATTCAGTTCGGCTGCGGCAGAGGTTTTGGCTCCTGCCGTGGCCCTGCAGCCTCCCGGGGCGCGTTGTTGTAAGCGGCCGCGTGAGGGTGGCTGCTTAACGCGGCAACCTCGTACGCAGCTCCCTGTGCAGACGCGCGGCCGAGAGCAGCTTCGTGCTTCGCTTCCAGGTTGCCCGGCCCGTGCGGGACGCCAACCTCTGAGACGTCGCGCGTCTTCAGTAATGGTGGTAACTACCGCTGTTTGGGGATTGTAGCCTGTTCTGTTTTCATACGCTGTTGAGTTATGAAAATAATTTGACAAACTATTCTTACAGTACGCCTGTGCCTTACCTCCTTACCCCAGGCCATCTCTAGTCATGAGGATCACAGTTTAAAAAAAAAAAAAAAAAAAAAAACCCAAGACTAAAAGGGACCACGAGGGCTGATGCAGTAGCTGCTACCCAAGCCACTGCAATGATCTGGGTCATCCAGCTTTGGATACACCCTGCTTCCAACAGGGCATAGCGCTCGGTCACGAGGGGGCTGCAGACAACAGCAGCTACTCAGAACCTTCAGCCCCGCGATTCTCCCTCGAACAAAGAACACAGACAGATGCGAGCAGCGGTTTTGTTGCCGTACAAAGCCGAAACAGCATTTCCTGTGACTATGAAAAGCCTAAACTCTGGTTGGTTTCAAAACGAGCAGCAGGAAAAAGGGGCGACTCCATGAATAATTTTGCTTTTAATGTAGTAAGACTACTGTACAACAAGAGGAAAGCAAATTCACGTCATACAGGTAAAGTAAATATAAAATGCTGAGATATACACACGGTTTTACTTGCTGGAAAGAAACACGTACGGTTAAAAGGCAGGAGGTTCTAAAAGCCCTAAGCCGAAAGGAACACAATTCACAGCCGTGAAAACAGAACGATATTTTCTACCAAATGCAACTGCAACGTAATGGCAATGATTTTCTTTCTTTTTAAACAATCGCCTTCAGGCATTCAAGCACAGCGGTTTCTTCCAACTCAAAACTCCCACCCTTCAGGTACAACAAACGTACTTCATCTCGCACTGTCCCCGTGCGGAGCGGGAGCGCTCGCCGCGCCTTCTGTTGCAAACGTCATCGCACAGGACGCGCACCTACGCTTCAGAAACGTACTACAAAACTATATAATCTCCACAGGGTGGGTAATGCAACTTGCCGATTTAATTGTTACTCAGAGAAAAAAAAAAAAAAAAAACCAAACAAAACAAAACAAAACCAAAACCAAAACCAACAGAAAACCAAAACCCTACACAACTTCGCTAGGAGAAACACCTAGGGTTTACATTTTTAGTGACGCCTCAGTCACCGCGGTGAAGAGGAACCCTAGGCGTCTGGTGCCATTGTTACGTAGCCGAAGAGCATCATGAAGCCGGTCTCTTTTCTTTTTTTTTCTGAGGCCAAGTCATTCCCACGTCCTCACAAATTCCGCTAAGTAGGGGAATAAATAGCTACATACACAACAGGGCGGGGCCTGGGGGGGCTTGGGTTTTAGTACAATGTTAGGTAGAGAGAGAAGATAACCCAGCAGCAGCTCACAGCCGCGACCCATCATGGCTCCCATCGGAGTACGTTAGCTTTTAATCAGCGTTTGCACTGTTTGTTACGGAAAAGCTGCACCGCTCGCGTCCCGTCGGTGGGCTACTCGAGAGTTGGGGGGGGGGGGGGGGGGGTGAAGACACGGTCCAA